TCGCGTGTGGTGAACTCCAGCCCTCTTCTGCGGATGCACATAGTGCATAGCTTATGCTCTAATAAATTTGTTAGTCTCTAAGGTGCCACAAGTACTCCTGTTCTTCTTTTTGCAGATACAGACTAACACGGCTGCTACAGATAAACAGAAGGGCTGTTCTGAGCTAGTTTCACTGCATGTAGCCCTATGTTAATCACCCGCTAATAGCTTCTCAATTAGCCTCCATGTGCCAATGGCTTTCTACTTTTATGCTTAATACTTTACTAAAGAGTAAAACACCCTCTGTTTATTAAAACACCAAAAATTATTAAAGTTATATTTACAGTGGTTTTAAATACAATTTTAGTGTCAATTCTATTTGCAGGGCTTAAAGCAAGTTTGTTCATATATATATAGATATAGATATAGATATAGATATATACACACACAATGTTGTTAAAATAGCACTGAAATTCAATGAACAGAGGCCTAGATGTGATCTTACTTCATTAATCAACAAGGGGGGGGGGGAGGTAGAGAGTGCTGCAGCTATGCTGCTGTCGAAACATAGTGTAGACCTTTCCTACAGCAACAGAAAGGGGTTTTCCATCAATGTAGGCAATCCACTTCCCCAAATGGTGGGAGCTAGCTCATGATCTGGCCACACTAAGGGTAGGTCTACACTTACCTCCAGGTCCAGCGGTAAGCAATCGATCTTCTGGGATCGATTTATCGCGTCTTGTCTAGACGCAATAAATCGATCCCGGATCAATCCCGGAAGTGCTCACCATCCACGCCGGTACTCCAGCTCGGCGAGAGGAATACGCGGCATCGATGGGGGAGCCTGCCTGCCGTGTCTGGACCCGCGGTAAGTTCGAACTAAGGTACTTGGAATTCAGCTACGTTATTAACATAGCTGAATTTGCGTACCTTAGTTCGAAGTGGGGGTTAGTGTGGACAAGGCCTAAGGGTATGTCTACACTACGGGATTACTCCGAATGTACAGAATTCGATTTTTGGCAACTGATTGTATAAAGTCGAGTGTATGCGGCCACAGTAAGCACATTAATTCGGCGGTGTGCATCCATGTACCGAGGCTAGCGTTGACTTCCAGAGCGTTGCACTGTGGGTAGCTATCCCATAGTTCCCGCAGTCTCCTCCGCCCATTGGAATTCTGGGTTGAGATTCCAAAGCCTGATGGGGCCAAAAACAGGGTCGCGGGTGGTTCTGGGTCATGCAATTATACCAGATTACTTGCTACTAGCATGGTGTGGTCAAG